TGGCCAGGAGCCACCGCGGCTGCGTGCGGCACGCTCCGCTCCGATGAAGCGCTTGGATGGTTGCTCGAGTCACCTGCTCGTTTCTTAAGGGTGGCGTGCCCTTCTCAAGTTCCTTGTGAACAGGGATTTCGCTGTCTTTTAACTAAACAGCCCTGCTTATTTCTCCCTTCTTCTCCCAAGTGAAGAAAGGGAGGTGTGGAAAAGTTAAACATTTTTTGCTTAAGGTCACATAGAAAATTTTCTGGCAAGAGATGATGACTCTGAAAATCCTGCCTGCTGCTTTCCCTCCAGAAGCTGCTCTGATCTCCTGGAAATAATATCATAAAACTTGTGTTTGCGATACCTGGCTGCTGCTGCCCAAACTCCTGTGTTTGGGATCTGTTTCCATGGGTCCCTGACTTCCCGGTGTCAGCCGGGTCTGTAGATCCTTCCCCTTTCCCCAGGCAGGCTGCTGTAAGTCAATGCTCGTAGGAGAACGTAGTCTACAAGGGAGGAGGCTGCTAGAAAAGCACTCTGAAGGTTGTTTTGGCATGTCCGATTGAAAGCAAGACAAAACAGACCACAGTGTAGCTTTATGTCTCTGTTTCTGCTATTTAGTGAGCTGATTTTCTACATCGTGTTTAGTAAAAGCTTTCATTATGCAATTTGAGCTTGTGGAATCATGTGCTACCTCCACGCTGAGCAAAACAGTGATCCTTTAGTCCTCTGTGCTGCCAAGCTTTTGCAATAAATTATGAGGAATGATCTGGTTTAAAAAAAAAAAAAGCCATCGGGGCTAGTACTGGATTTTCTTTGTTTTCTTAGTCAAGTACCTGTCACCTTTTTTTTTTTTTTTTTTTCCCCCCCAAACAGCATCATTTGGGAGATGATTGAATTAGAGTTGAGTCCTGGTGAAGGTGGGCCAGAGAAAGACATTAAGGCCAAGCGTGAGTCAGGGAGGAACTTGAATTCCTGCCCTACCTGTTCTAATTACGACTCGACAGCAAGCTCTGATGTGAGGAAGCCTGAGGTGACTGCACATCCATCTGGGCACACCAGGATGTTGTCACTGAAGATGAAATAAGATGCAGCGAGACGGGGCAGTTTGTTAGGTTATTTCATTTCAAGTGAATAGAGAGTTGCACTGTAAGAATTATGGAGAGGACGGAGTGCCAGTAAAGAGACACGTGTTGCTTAAGGAACAGAAAAAAGGAGTCTGACTTCTCCATGGGCATGCTGTTTGCATCAGGCTACATCAAAGAGTTGATGCAAATCTGGCCTATTCCTAATTTTCCTGTCTGCTAATCACTTGTTGTATGGCTTTTGTCTGTATGCTAACTTCTCCATCTGGTTTATTGCTTCTCGGTCTTGTCGTCTGTGAAGTGTGGAAGGAAACAGGGAGATTTACTGAAATAATGTTGGCCATAATCTGTGCACTCTTGAAACTGTAAAAATCCGGAAAGATAGCTCTAATCCTGTGACAGAAAGGAAGGGAGCATTCAAACTGAACTACTTCTGGGTAAATTTGCCAGGTTTATTTTCAGTAAAAATAAAATGCCATGTTCTGTTCTTGGTATTGATCAGCTCCACTTGCTCCGTGTAAGGGGTGATGTGGATGGCTTTCATCGAAGCCCTATTGCCAGGTTCTGCTCTGTAAATGACTCCCGTTCTGGGCAGAGATGGTGTTTAAAGCTTCTTCCTGCTTCACGATCTGTATGAAAAGCCGGAGAAAACAAGTGAGGACCTGTTCTCTGCCCATCCCCTTGTGACACATCTTCCCTCTTTCCTTCCCTGTGCTTTTATCATTACCTGAGAATATAAAATCAGATTCTGGCCGTGATGCTTGGGCACGGCTCCCCCTCGCGCTCGTCAGTGCTTCAGAGTCCCACTGGCTCTCTGGGGTGCTGGTAGCCTAAAAACCTTCTGGGCCCACGCGGATAGGAACTGCTGCAGCTGATACGAAAAGATACTAGTCCGTGCATTGATTGCAGAAGGTGGTGAGGGAGACCTGTCTACGGCAAAAGGAAAGGTGGCAAAGGGGCGGATGACGTTTTAAGGATTTAAAGGTAACTTCCCAGTATTTTTGTCTAGGCAAGAACCTGGGATTTTGGTTTTTTTCCCCCTCCTTGCTTCATAGGCTGCTGCTGCAGTCATGCAGTTGTGTGAAGTCATTCTGAGAGATGCTTCTGGAGGGGATTCAAGGCAGGATGGAGCTTTGTTGTGCATGTTGCCTATTCCTCACAAGCAGTTACTCGTAAGGGACGAGCGTTTGTAAAGATGAATACTCTGTTAACATTGAGCATAACCAGAGACGGTTCCGTGGCTGAGTGGAGCTGACTAAATGTATGTTGGCAGTCAGAACCTGAAATTTTCCTGTTAGGGAAATTACAGTGTCACACTGGATCAAACCTGTCAGGCAGGTTTGTTCTGTATTGATTCATGTGGTAACACGTCCACCTAGTCTACTGCTAGACTCAGAACTACAGGCTCTGCTTTGGTTTTAGACTCGTTGAGCTCAGGTGAGCTTTGAAAACAAGCTTACAGTTAGCTTTGAAAGTATTTCTGTAGTTGTAAGGTGTAAGTTCTGGCCTCCGGAGCATAAATTTCCAGGCTACCTCACTCGTTCTGGATTTCTAAATATCAAGGATAATTCAGTTGGGTAACGGCGTCTTTGCTGTGAGAGTAGTTGATCCAAACTCGGAGCGAGGAATGGACCAGAACCCGCCTTGGGGTTGTTTCTTGCTTTGTTTTCGCAATTGCTGTCAACCTCTGAAGTATTTGCATTTCATGGTCAGGCTATGCAGATGGTTATAAGCATATATATGCTTTTATATTTATATATAAATAAAAATTATATATGTGTGTGCTTATATGCATGTTTGTAATTATGTATATCTACGTATAGGTGTATGTTCACGGAGCATCGGGGATCCTTTCAGGTACCGCTGTGTTGTACATCTGAGTCCCCGCGGGACTGCCTCGTGCATGATTGTGCCAGTGCTAAATCTCAGGACTGGATTTAAGTCCCCAAGTGTTGCCTGTAAGGTGCAGGGGTCTCTTGAAATTTGCTGTGGCTTTATCATTTAGTTTATAAAAGCTCGTAGGTCAGGCCAACCAAAGTGCAAGCTACCTGACTGCTGGTGCCTTAGCTGGTAAATTCTCGCGTGCTTCTCCGGGAGGAATATCTGCTCGGTACCGGGAAGTTGGTACTTTGGTACAGAGAGCTGCTTAAGGTTTGAGTGGGTTAAAAACAAAACCAAAACCCAAGACAAATTAAATTGGAGCAGATTTGGTCTGGAGTTCTGCTTACAATGTATGCTCAAAGCTCTTTCCTGAAAGTGGCCGGTCTATCCAGAAGATTGATTTTCCTCTCTGACAGAGTAAAAATTCCTGTCCCCAGAAGGAATCACCTGCAGGCGTGCTGGTAGGATGCCTTGTTGTCTAACCTGTGCAGGCAGGTGACTGTGAAACTTCCCGGCTTGCAAGAGCCTCTGGGGGAAAAAAAAAAAAGCAAAAAAAAAAAAAAGCAGCTGTGCAGTGTAAATCAAAACGTGGTATTAGGCAATCTGACCCAGGCGTACTGAGGACAAGAAAACCAATGCAGCTTGGGCTGTCCGCTGCTGTAGGTTAAGGGTCACCTTGTATAAATGCAGAATTGGTATTAATGTGGAAAGATACGCTGAGTTGTATGTATTTTCATTAAGAGGTTGCCAGGGGCTGTATTAGGGAAATAAGCGCTGCTGTAGCTGCCTTAGAGACAGGATCGCCGGCCTGTTTACCGAGGTGCAAGGAGTAGCCTTGTCCTTTAGGGGTTCTTAAGAATAATCAAGTTACCAGTCTCAGTTCTCTTTTCCAGTTTTCTAGAATGGAGCTGTTTACTGAAATGCCTGATTACTTTCTAGATTTGACTTTGAGTTTGTCATCTTTTGTCCTTGGTGTTAGTTGTAACAGCCATCTGATCCCAATACACTAGTTAAGTGAAAATTCACCGTGTGATGTGTGGCACTTTTCTTCCACATTCTTCCTTTTACCAGTTAGATATTTGAAGATTTTTTTTTTTTTTTAAGTCCCTTGCCTAAGCGGTCTGTTATTGCCTCCTGTGGCCTGTCTCACTGTGTTTGTATGTATTTATGCTGTTCTCTTACATCCATACCTAGTAATTTAACCTGGTTTTATCTTCTCACATAATTCTCTTTCAGTTTCAGCTCACTGTGGAGATCATTATTTAGGCAAATTAGTTTCTTAATACACTTCCTTTTTCTTGGTGCTGGACTCATTTGTGCTTGCGTGCCTTAATATAGTTTCTTTAAGGAAGCGCCAGTTCTCTTGAAATCTTTACCTTAGTGGCCAGTTCATCCAAGTGTACTGAAATTTGAATCACTTTACATCTGTAATCCTTGTTTTTTTCAGGCAAATCACCGTTTTTACCAAAATGAGTCTTGCGTAGAAGCTTTCATGGCGGTGGCGATGTTTGGGATGTTTTTAGAAAGCCTGCTCTGATAATAGCACGGGGAGGGCTTCCTGCACCAGAACTGTCCTTAAATAACAACAGTCTTGGATTAGCACTGGCTGTTCTGAACTAAAGGCAGAACAAAATGTTCTAAACGTGCTGAAAGGTTGACTCTGAAATTTTTACAGCGTTATACTTCAATTTGTTTTATTGTGTGAGTAGGTGAACCCAGACATTACTTAAGAGTAGGAAATGGGGTAGGTTTTGAGATCTAATATAATGGGATTATCTCTGATTTTTCACTTGGGCTGTGGAATTTCAGAAAATCTGGTCTAGGCAACTGCTGGTTGCCTACGTAGTCTGCCGCACGTGACGCTGATTTTAGGAGGAAGGTCCTTTCCGAGCTCTCTGCAGCTGCTGCAGGCTGTCGGCGAGGGACGAGCGTGAACCAGGAGGGTAATGAGAGCAACGCGGTAATGGCTCTGTGTGCTGCCCACCAGGAGGGTTATGCTGGAAGCTCCATCTGAGCACTCTCTGAAGCGTTTATGCCCTTTATTTGAGGAAGTGTCCCTTGTCCCTCTGAAGGCTCCACAGAACCTTCTCTGAGGACGGGCATCGGAAAGGCAGGCGATGCGCTCGGTTGAATGCAGGGCGGTATTTCGGTCGTGGAGTAATTTGTGGGTTGTACATCACAGGCTAGGGCAGGCATGTAAAGTCCTGGGTATTAACAGCACCCAGGAAGGGGCTGAGTATTTTTACATTTGGGGTCACGGAATTTTTCAGCTCGTGTATTTTTGTGGTCAGCCCAAGCTGCTGAGTGACTTAATTCATGTGTGTCACCACAGTTATTTTTCTTCTAAATGCTTCCCGGTATTTGCCTCTGCAGTCAAGAGAGAGGCCAAAGTCAAAACACAGCTCCAAATGATGTGAATATGGCTCCTCTTTGCTTTCTTAGGTTTTCACTGTTACTGCCAGTGCTTTTCCTGGGGAAGAAACTTGCTCTTTGTCCTTTGGAAATTATCCTTTTGCTCTCACAGTATTGATTACACTTCCATTTAAAAACAAAACAAACAAACCCGCTGATGGCACAAAATTGTGGATTTCTTTGTGCGCTGGTCCTTTGTGCCAGGTGGCACTTGGGAATCAGACTGCGGGGTTTGGTTCCTTTGCGTTCCGAGAGCCGTGAATCAGCCAGCTTGCTCTGGGTCCTTCAGGGTAGTCACGTCGTTCAGTGCTCTGCCCTTGGCAAATCCTCGACCTCCCCCGTATCCAGGAGAGAAGGGGAGTAGGTGGGATGTCTCCTGCTCACCTCGCTGGACCCTCCCCGCTTGCTGTGCAGGGCAAGTTCCAGTTCAGAGTGTAGCACATCGTTTTGCATCCGTCCTTCAGGATGGGGGATCCACGTTCCTAGAGTGGGTCCCTAGGAGGTGGGTTTGCACTCTGATGAAGAATCCCTTGCTCTGTCACCCATTTTCTCTGGGGTGTGGAGGGACTAAACTGAATATGTTCTTGGCTTAACCTTGCTCTTTATGTTCTTCACTCAGCTGGGGAGTCCCTCTTGGCATTACGGTGGCTGCTGTTGCTCTGAAGAAGATTGGCTATGATGCCTCCAACGTTTCCGTGGGCTGGTGTTGGGTCGACTTGGATGCAGAGGATCGAGTCTTGTGGATGTTGTTAACAGGGAAAGTTTGGGAGATACTGGCCTATGTGACTTTGCCGGTGCTCTACATTCTCATCAAGAAGCACATTAATAGAGCGGTGAGTATTTTGCTGCTTTCAGCTTAGGTTACAGACTTGCTGTGTGATTATATCCTCCCATGCTCTGAAGATTTTGCTGCGTATTTAGCAGCTGCACAGGCAGGAATTGCTTCACGTACCGCTGAAATGCATCCACCGCTGGGAGAAGCAGTACACCTGACTGAGCAGCCTGCAGCATTGTCACACAACGACTTAGCACGGGAAGAATGTAAAAAAAAGCCTTTTGAAAACTTAAGGGGTTGTGGGATGTACGTGAGTGAGATGTAAATCCTACAGTAAAAATTGAAACGAGATGTGAAGGGCAAAATTCAGCTTTAATCAGTCTTCCAGAGTTCCACTTGCACCAAGCCTGAGGCTGGTGTCTGGACATCTCTAACCTCCGTCGTTTTAGGATCTCTAATGATGGTTGGTGTTTATAAGTACCTGGGCACTATAGCATTAGGCACCATATGCCTACACAGTACAGGGAGACATCTTGTCTAGGAGGGTTTCAGAATTCAGAGGCTTATTTGCTCCTCTTCCTTGTAAACGCAAAGAATCCAGGCATCTAGGACAACATGTGCATAATGGAGAGATCTAGGTTGAGAGTGGCAGAAGGAAGTACATCCAGAGATTCCCTTTTTCTCTAAGTTGTATTAGGGAAAAACCCCAACAGCTAAATAGTTGTCCTTCTGGAAAATGGTGCCTCTGCAAACCTGTTTGCTGCGGTGAAGCTACGGCAGCGGTAGTTTGGGATAAACACAAATCTGGTTAGGGCAGGATCCCACAGACGAGTTGGAAGAACAGCGTAGGCTTTAGCAGTTGGAAGGGTCCTGGGAAAGGGGAGTTGGGAAAGGTTTGCTCGTGCCTGTCACCATCACCTGACAGCAAGCAGGACGCTGTGTTCCAGCCGCTGTCAAAGATAGCAGCGTGACTGCCTGGAAACCTGACCCCCACCTGGCCGGGCTCTTACCCCCTCGCTCTGCCAGGGAGCCTTGGGCTCCCCGCGCTCCCGTCCCCGCACCAGCCCTCGCCCTCTTGCCGGAGCCGTGCCGAGGGTGGGCAGCCTCGCTCGAGTCCCACGATGGGGGGGCTGGAGCAGCAGCACACAGGGACTTCTGGACCGGAGCATCTCCTCATCCCCAGGGGTTTTGCCAAGCCTGGTAGCCTGCTCGCTAAGCCTCTCTGCTGGCAGGACTCCCCCCACTTCCAAGGAGGAGCAATAGGCAACCAGGGCTGGGTTTGGGCCGTGTTAATTAGCGGCTGAAGTGGGTTTCGCAGCAGTGGCTCCCGCACGGTCTGAGCGGCAGGAGAAGTTATGGAGGTGGCTGTTGTTGGGGACACACGGGGGGTGTGTGCCAGGGGCTTTCCAAGCGGCAAAGGCTGCGGGGGCGTGGGTGGGAAGCTGCACCGAAAGCCCTCGGGGAGGTGGGGGGTGACTCAGGCCACAGTTCAGTGTTGTCGTACAGGTCTGGTCTGGAGGAGGTAAGGTGTCGGGACTGGGAGTACTGGAGTGAAGGAGAGCGCTGTGCATCAAAGCTTTGTGTGTGCTCTGTAGCCCCGATGGTACGAGGAATAGTTTTCTGCAGGTTAGCTATCCTGAGATGTAATCTCTTCCCCCATATTAACATCCTGGTGTTCGGCATCACGTGTCCCTGCAGCTGCTCCATGGGCTGTACCTGACGCATCCAGTAGCTTCTGCCATAGGAAGGTCTCATGGGCCTCACACCGCCAACCTCCCTGATCCACGGCACAGTGACTAATTTTTTTTTTTTTCCACGTGTGCTGGTGTAGAGAGGTTTGTTGGCTTGCTCAAATCCATGGGAGCCCATTGCTGACAGGATATGGTCAGAAGCGAGGCAGGTTCTGCTCAAACATACCGTAGGACTGGTTCACCTGGGCGTAAATTCCGTGTGGAACTTGCTGGCTGTGGTGAAGGCCAAAAGTTTGAATAGTTTGAAAATGATGAGCCAGACTTCTCCCCATATGTATATATGTGTGTGTGTATATATATCTTATCTCAGGAGGCCAAACCCTTAGCCACGCGTTTACAGGGTGGCAAAGCCGGTGGCAATGGGGCCAGGCCACTGGACCAGCAGGACTATCTTGTGGAGCACCGCCTTTTTTTTCTTTTTTTTTTTTTACATTGTTATGACCTGATTTCTTGGTAACTACATAATGATGTTTGTCAATATAAAGCTTTAGTGGGACTCTGATAAGGGCCGGATATCCTTTATTTACCATTCCTTGGCTTCAGCAGAAGCAGGAATATTTGCATTAGCAAGGGCAGAATGTGGCTGAAGACTGGTGCTCTGAACTGTGCCCCTGCTAACTTCCCACAAGATGCAAAGAATTAGCTTGCTTTGGAAAGAATCCCTGGAGGTAAATGTCCAATATGTGTAGTTTTTTTGTTCACATTTTTGTCTCCCTCCCACCCTCCACGGAAGCATGCAGCACTCTCAGAGTATCGCCCCATTCTTTCAAGAGCACCTGCATTTCAGCCCCGGACTTCCATAGCAGATAAGAAGTTGATTCTCATCCCTGTCATCTTTATCATCCTCCGCATCTGGAGCACTGTGCGATTCATTCTGACCCTCTGTAACTCCCCTGCAGTGCAAAATTCAGTCCTGGTTGTCCTACATGTAAGTATCTGCCAGGAAATGCATTAAAAGGAGGATCTGGGAGGGAGATAAGGCTTGGTTGGTCTTAATACCAATTTTCGTGGCAGGATGCAGCGCGTACTGGTAAAAACCGCACGGGCCTTGCGGGAGCATCTGGTCGGGGGTGCCGGGGGTGCCGGGGGTGCCCAGCAATAGCTGTTCCAGCAGCATCTAGTGGCTACAGGGAATAACTGCACCGGGAGCGCTGGGCACTGCCGGCTGCGGGGGGGAGAAGCAGGCTG